CCAGCAAATCCTAACGACCGACTTCACGAATCGACTCTAAACTTACAGGCGGCAAACGGAAAACCGATCGCTACGTATGGCAAAAGGTACGTTTACCTTAACGTGGGTTTACGCAAACCCATCCACTGGATTTTCGTCGTTGCAGATGTTTCTATGCCAATCATTGGTATGGACCTTCTACAACACCACAATCTGATCATCGACACTCGCAAACGGAGGCTAGTAGACGGAAACACTAATTTGTCCGTTTGCGTAACTTCTTTTACTGGTTGTAGAGTATCCCCAGTCACAGTTAAACATATGATAGACCCACTCTATCAACCACTACTCGATAAGTACCCTGGGATACAACAAACGCAACCGAAACTACCGTGTGTAACCAGCAATGTTACACATCACATCACGACTACAGGACCACCTGTATTCTCTAAAGCACGACGACTAGCTCCTGAAAAGCTAAGGTTAGCGAAAAACGAATTCGACCATATGATGGACTTAGGAATCATACGACCGTCAAGTAGCCCATATGCATCTCCGTTGCACATGGTCCCTAAAAAGGACAGCAACGATTGGCGTCCAACTGGTGACTATCGGCGATTGAACGCGAAAACCATTCCCGATCGTTACCCGTTGCCTCACATTCACGATTTGACAGCTACCTTGAAAGGTACAACTGTCTTTTCGAAAATCGACTTGGTTAAAGCGTATAACCAAATCCCTATGGCTACTGACGACATACCGAAAACAGCTATCATAACTCCCTTCGGACTCTATGAATTTTTGCGAATGCCTTTCGGTCTAAGGAATGCTGCTCAAACATTCCAAAGATTCATAGACGACGTTTTTCGAGGTCTCAACTTCGTACACGCGTATGTTGACGACTGTCTAATCGCAAGTCCGGACAGAGAAACACATCTCAAGCATCTGGACCTTGTTTTCGAACGATTACAAAAACATGGCATAACTGTAAACGTTCAGAAATGCCAATTTGGAACCGACTCGTTAGACTTTCTGGGACACACTATCGATGCTCAAGGTATCCGACCCCTTAGAACCAAAGTGGCGGCCATTCTGGATTACCCAGAACCGACCACCGTCAAGCAATTACGCACGTTCAACGGCCTGGTAAGTTTCTATAGACGTTTCATACCGAAATGCGCATTACTTATGAAACCTCTGACCGACCAACTTCGTGGAAATGCGAAATCCATTAATTTGGACGACACCGCACGAAAAGCATTCTCCACAGTTAAGGAACTGATTGCTAAAGCAACAATGCTCGCACATCAGGACACCCGAGCACCCATTAGCATCGCAGTAGACGCATCCGACTCGGCAATCGGAGGAGTCTTACAACAATGGGTTAACAACTCCTGGCAACCCTTGGCATTTTTCTCTAGAAGGTTGCTAGACACCGAATCGAGGTACAGCACATTCGGTAGGGAACTCCTAGCTATGTATTGTGCTGTACGGCATTTCCAACACTATATCGAAGGCCGTGAATTCACTCTTTTCACGGACCATAAACCGCTCACTTTCTCGTTAAGCTCTCCTTCTGACAAGTACTCTCCCCGTGAGTCTCGACAACTGGACTACATTTCGCAGTTTACTTCAGATATTCAACACATCTCTGGAGCAAACAATGTAGTTGCAGACGCCTTATCTCGCATAACTTCCTTGAACAGTTTCCAAGGAATCGACCTTCTTAAACTCGCCGAGCTTCAAAAAGAAGACACTGATCTTCAGCACGAGTTATCGTCCACAACACTTAAACTACGCATCAAACAGATGGGAACAGGTAAGGAAACCTTACTTTGTGACACATCTACAGGTAGGGATCGCCCAATCGTGCCGAAACATTATCGACGCAATGTCTTCAATACATTGCACAAACTTTCTCATCCAGGTGTTCGTGCAACCATCAAGCTTATAGCAGAACGATTTTGCTGGCCTGGCATGAATAAAGACGTGAGGGAGTGGGCACGCTCCTGTGTAAGCTGCCAAAAATCTAAGGTTATCAGACACAATAAATGTCCCTTAGGCTCGTTTAAAACTCCCGATGCTCGTTTCGACCATGTTCATCTGGATTTGGTAGGACCTTTACCAGATTCAAATGGATACTCTTATCTCTTAACCTGCGTAGACCGTTTCACTCGATGGCCAGAAGCAGTACCTATCAAGGACAGCACTGCTGAAACAGTGGCCCGCACATTCGTCGAACGATGGGTAGCAAACTTCGGTTGCCCTTCAACCATCACTACAGACCGCGGACGTCAGTTTGAATCTGATCTTTTCCGTCGTCTGACCACACTTTTAGGAATCACTCGCTTCCGAACGACCGCCTACCATCCACAAGCAAACGGGTTGGTAGAACGTTTTCACCGACAACTGAAAGCTTCGCTATCAGCTGCAAACGTTTCACAATGGACCGACGCTCTTCCACTCGTCTTACTAGGTATCCGCAATGCAGTGAAAGCTGACATTGGATACACTGCGGCTCAACTCGTTTATGGAACGACACTTCGACTTCCAGGAGAATTCGTGGATCCTTCGTGCTCTTCGATGAACATGGATCTAACCTCCTACACGAACAGGCTTACAAACGCAATGCGTTCAGTTAAACCTGCTTCCACTCGACCTCAATCAACTGATGTTTTCGTTCAACCTGACTTACGATATAGTACACACGTTTTCGTTCGTCGAGACTCGCATCGACGACCATTCGAATCAGCATACGAAGGACCCTTCAAAGTTCTTCAACGTGAATCTAAGTACTATATAGTCGATAAGAACGGAACCAACGATAGCATCAGCATCGATCGCTTAAAAGCAGCGTATTTAGAAGGAAATCCTATTCACGTCGATTTTCCTTCGTTACAATCGCACAACACGACTCCTACACTCATAATTCCTCAACCGACAACCAACACTGGCGATGATACTCCGAATGTATCTGAAAATAAACCTAAAACGACGCGTTCTGGAAGAAGAGTAAGATTTCCAGAACATTTAAACGACTACTGCACGTAAGACACTACTCGACATTTTATATTATCGCGATTTTTCTTTTTACGATATATAATTTTTTTAAAAAGGCAATTTTAATATGCTTATATATTTATGTTTTTATTTAAAAAAAACGAAACAAAAAAACATTTTTTAACGCTATTACGTGTGCTTGAGTTTATTTTCCATTTTTTCGCCGACATTGTGTTTTTACGCACATACGAGTGTATTTCGACATGCACTTACATTTCTTTTTTCTTTTCCAGGACGGCTGGAAAAGAACGATGCAGTTTACGAGGAGTCGAAATTTTCATTGTAATTTTTCTTTTTTTACTATGTTGTACCTCGGTCCCATATAGTAAGGAAAGACGACCAGACGCTGCTACACTTAGTAAGCTATCAGAAGAGTGTTTACCAACGACAAACTCGTTGGGTTTAAACTTCTGGCTGGCCACGTCTTAGGGTCGTCACTGCCCCACTAGGGGGGGAGTGATCTGTAGCGGTAAATAAATCCCCAAAATAAATAGCCCTGTAAGTTTTCGACATTGGATGCTGACCATATGTTTTAGTGGACTCATCTAGCTGAAGGCGCTCGGTCAGGCATCCGCACCAGATCACGTGTGGTAACGCCGTGCTCAACATCAACCGCAATCGCTAGCCAGATTAGATCAGAGAACTCCGATATATTGGTCATCGCCAAATATACTCTTCCGATCTCCTCGACTCTGTCTTTTGATTTCTCTTGGTGGGAACGAAATATATTAGAAGGTGTTACTGGTAGAAGCGTTGTCAAACACTGAATACCTGTGACATCATCACCTGTGACCTACAACCAATTGGAGAATAGATTACAGATTGATTGATGTGCAGACACGCGCACAATCAGACTCACACAGAAGTCTACATAGTGGATTAAGTGTCTAAATTACAATGAGTAGACAAGTAATACCATAGTTCAACGGGCTTACTAAAACTATACACAATACAATACGCAGTCCACACAGACACACACGCATATGCATAGGCATATTCACATCCACATGCACTATCAACATCGAATCACATCACACAGTCACAACACCTGATCGAAACCATCTCATTCTCACTCACTCACTCACTCACTCACTCACTCACTCACTCACTCACTCACTCACTCACTCACTCACTCACTCACTCACTCATCGTCTCACTTAATCACTCATCACCATACATCACAGTAGTACCATACTGTGAGACCATGTTGTCTGTGAATGGGACTAGGTAAGGCACTGTCACTGGTCGGTGTTGTGCATTGCACCGAGTTTTCAAGAGACACGGAACGCTGTGAGAATATGTACAGTGTCACCTGATGGTTATGGTGTGACTCGAGTGATTGTCAGCAGTTATGATGTGGTTGCGACTCGATCCGGCCCCCATTAACACTGCAGCACAGATCCAACGCCTTAGACCACTCAACCACAGGAAAAATGATAGAAGATTCAGATGCAGATTTGTGTAGTAAGTATAGAGGGCCTACGGCCTATGTTATTCCTTGTTGAGTATGCTTCTTTGAGTGTCCAGTCTTCTCTTGAAAGAGTCAATTGAAGGTGCGGACACCACTGCTTCAGGCAGCAGGTTCCAAGTATTGATGACTCGGTTTGTGAACCTGTATGCCACGGGTATTTTGTTCATTCTATGCTTTTCCACTCGCCTGCTATGTCCTCTGAAGTGTCCTGATGTAGGGGTAAGAAAGAGAGAGAATAAGTTAGGTCCGAAGTGAATTATTAGTATACTGTACATCAATATTAGATCTCCCCTTAGTCTGTGATAGGACAGAGTTAAGAGGTTCAGTTTTTCAACAGGGAGTTGATCATAGAAACACAGTTTGCAGTACAACAAACCTTTCTTCAGTAAAATCATGCACTGACAGTCTATCTGGAAACAATCAAGTATGTGACTGAACTCACTATGACTTGAGATATCACCTCAGCGTGCAATGGACGTACAGTGTAATGCAGTCGGACGTGGCGAATAAAAATTAAAAGCAGAGAAAAATTAACTACATAATCTAGTTATTTAATTAAAAATACATTATAAATGACAAATTCTGTGGTTAGTTGAACGCTTAAACGACAGTGTGCGATACATTAAGTTTACATGGTTGCGTTGCGGATAAGATCACCCTAATAGTTGTCACCATCAAATAATAACATACAGAGTACCACAAAACTGACTTGTAAAAATCCCAAACCTCAGCCGAAACAGTTCGAGCCGAAGTTAAGCCAGTATGTTTTTCATGCAATAAAAACACAAAAGCAAGGTGAATTCTTAACAAGTACGAAGTCCCTGTACTCACATGCGGCGCGTCTTTTAATTTTGCGGAGCAACATGACAGTATCGTAAGTTTGTTGTTGTTATTATCAGTACTTAGAAATCCCTAAAGCTCAAAAGTTCACCATTGTTCTTGTTGATTTTAGTGACTAATGATCAAAAGATGAAATGAAAACTCGGGTAGTAGTATTTTTGAGTATGTATTTTAGTAATAAAATCAACCGAAACTATAGTAATAAAAATGCAGACTCAAATCTTAATGAGACTACATAAACACGATTTATCCAAAGTAATAACAACAGTAGATTAGCACCAAAGCTACGCCTTTGTCATCGTATTGGATTTATGTCGACACTGTAATAACCTGGATCTATTAAAATAGAAAATACATTGACACTGGAATGTTCAGTAGTTGTGTTGGAGTTGTTTTTAATTAAGTGAATTCGGGGTTGCTGTGGACAATTCCAACCTATGTTGAGCCAAAATATATCCGGTGTCAACCAACATCTATCGAATGTTTATAGATTGGCAAAATAGTAGAGTAAAACTAGTAGATAGGCAAATAACCAGAGGCATAGGTATATTACAGATTTATACGAGTAAGTGAGCAACCAGGTACAAGTCAGCCGTTAGGATATAACTAACACAGGTAGATGTCATGTGTTTATTTTGAGTACCCAGTTATGTGTTTATGAAAGGAGCTTATGCATATCGAGGTGGAGACGTACAGCCTTTGACTAATGTCAGATACTTTGAGCTATTATAGTCTGAACAATTTACCTGTGTCTTTGCCTATATAGAATACTTTGTAATAAACCCGGGTAATAACGGTCGTTACAGCTGAGGGTGTTTGTTGTCATTGATTGGATAATACGGAAAGTCAGAAAAAACATGACAGTTCGAAATTATTACTAATTCATCTAAACAGTATAGTAAGGTCACATCTGGTCTTTTAATGTAATAAGGGGTACACCCATGACAACTAAAGCTCCACTATTAATTGGGTCATTTTAATTGCAAACTTTCAAATCTTTCATCTTAGCCTACAATCTTTCTGAATACAGAGACTAGACTCTTGTGTACAGTACCCCAACTTTCCGCGGATAAATATCTTGTGTAGTGTTGTAAACGCACTGAAATATAGCATGTTGAGGTACCTATATATTTTTAAAACGAGAATTCATACTGTGTTCACCTGCCTTCAAATTCTGGGTGATGGCAGCGACATGTATTGCTGCCTTTTCGATGCTTAAATCTAGTACTATAGCGTAACCTAAAGTGGTCATATATCCATTGTTTCAAAGAACCTTTGCAAATTATTTTGCGATGTGGATAGTTCCTAGACTACGTAGTTGTATCCACGACGTGAAAAAATAATTCTTATGTTTACTTGGCGAAGTATTCTTAGGTGGTTTATTTTTTTTATTTTTATTTGAACACATAAATATTGGTACAAGAGAGCGCCAATATATATGCGCCACACAAAACAATGAAAATTCGAAGAGAAATAGAAAGAAAAAAAAACTAGGGAACGCAAAAGAAAAAGAGAACAATGACGAAGAGATTGGAGTAAGGTAGTGTGGTAGTAACGACGGAACGAAAAGGTACAATCAGAAGAAATCTTTCAGGTGGTATCTGAAACGTATTTTGTTTCAATAATATCAGCATGCTGAAAATACCGCACATATAAATGCTTAGATACCTTTCCGAACATTTTGTGGCGGACAGACAGTCACACTTAGCTACAACGTAGGACCAAGCATAAATATACATCGGTCCATGTTGCCATACGTCATTAGCTCAACAAGAGGAACACCGGACTCAGAAGCAGTTAACTCAATGGTGTAATATATAAAAAAAGATGTTATGTAAGGATATAGTACAGGAAGAAAGATCTAGTTCATAGAAAGAAAGATATGAAGCGATTTTAATCTATTAGTTTAAGGGAAGACAGAGAGTGTATACACTGACGCCATTGTGATCGATTCTGAGCCATGTCACCAAGAGTCTCCAACCATTGAACACGGTAGTCACGCGGACACCAACTAAGTAGTCTGTATCTACCAATATGGCTCAGACCAGAAGTTAGTGACTTCAAGCACTGATACCACGTTTTGAATCGGCCGCCCTTAACTTTCTCCCAACCATCCCGAACACCGGTTAGCATTGCACGTCGTGGTAATTTGCGTTCGGGCATACGTAACACGTGACCCAACCATCTCAGTCGATGAAGATTCACACCCTCATCAACTGATTTACCATCATTCCCTAATACCCTGCGTCTAGTCTCACTATTACTTACCCGGTGGTCCCACCAAATACGAGCAATATTTCTAAGACATCTGTGGTGGAATACTAGTAGCTTACGAATATCTACTCTTGATGACCACGTTTCGCAGCCGTAAAGTAGAACAGAACGAACTGCTAAACAGTGTATTCGTCCCTCATTTGATAGACGTATATCTGGCCTTCACCGTAGGTGACGTAAGTTGGCAAAAGCCAAAGGAGCTTTCTGAATCCGTGCACAAACAGTCACCGACAGCAGTGTAAATGTTGAGGAAGGTAACGTGTAATCGCCTACCAAGTAATGGCATATACTCGAGACTAGATGTATTTCTATGATAATTAGACAATCACGTCAAGTAATAAGAAGGGCTATACTGAATGATATATAATTGCATCCTCTACATGCTTTACGAAATCAGATATAACAATTGTGTCGACTAGTTTATTTTTGGACAGGTTTTAATCCAGACTCTTTCTTAGATTTTTAGTCATTGATGAATAGTCTCCTTTAAAGGAACATTATCATTTGGGTATCTTTTGAAAATACTTATTTTGCCTTGTTACACTATTTATTTATTAAAACATGAACACTGATACAAGGAGGCATCAAATATATGTGGGTCATACAAATCATTCGATTTGTATAAGAGCCAGCATACTACCTGGTCGCTTAAACCGAAGCAGGTTGTTTTCTTAGGGGGCTATTCCTCGAGCCTTTAACCTTAAGATCTAATCCACAAGGCAGCGAAGCAACATTATGAGCTGAGTCCCATGGTAGCCGGTGACCAACAATAGGTTCATACGTCATTTGTTTCCTCAGTATCCTGAAGCCCATGTAAACCAATGGTTTGGAATCAGGGTTTTCCAACTGCCCTAGGTGGATCCTCCATATCCACCAACCTGGTTAAAGCTCCGGACATTCTCTTAACCTCGTAAACAACCCCTACCACGATAAGGTAGTGAATAATACTTCCCTGGCCATATGAGAGCATTTCTAAAGGGAGAGGTGACTCTCTCCATCGTCGACCGTACCACGGCATTTGGTGGCCTCATTACTCTAAACTAAGTGTTGCTGGAATTCGACAAACACCGAAGTTACGAAGTGCTGCATACAGTCTTTAACATTTCGAAGTATTTTCCAGGAGTGTTCGGAACTCCATGTGAGCAATATTGAGGTTAGAAGCAGGGTACTAAGCATAAATAGTATACCGGTCAATAAGATTGTGAATCCTCATAGACAGGTAGCTGGGATACGTATTGCATATACCCAACCACCGCATACGCCGAAGCCCAATGTTAACTGGCTTAAAAGTAGAACGACCAAACTAAAACTCAACATCACTTTGTGGGACCATCAACTGTTTGTCTCAACCACGTTGGTTAGTGCGGACTGCCTAGTTGCGGTCCGTATGGTTTCTGTCGCTGCCTTTTGAAGCTGTTGGGTGGCACGGCTCAGAATCAATATAAATAGTGCAGATTTATTCACTACGTCTTTCTTTAGATTTCAAGTGTTCACATTTTTTATCCCGCTACTTTATTCTTTCTTGGTTCTTGTTCTTCATCCTTAGTTTTTGGCAACAGCTGATACTTTTGCTACATTTTTCATCTTAAAAATTCCACCCCCACCCCTATGTTGACTTGGCTTGGGAAATCGGACTAATCGACAGGTCTCAGGTTCTACTTTGTTTATGAAGGACTAGGATGCATGGAATAGTTTGCATAATTATTCCCTGTTTCTCCCCTGTGAGCATACTAGAAGTCCATTTTGATGAGTTTTTCCACTTTCCAGTGTACATGAAAATTATTGTTTTGTTATCTAAGGAGGAATAAAGAAAATTTAGCGAAAACTTTCTTTTTCAATAGTGTTGGATATTAAAACTGTCTAATCATATTTATAATTTATTTGGAAAGTGATCACACCTCAAAATGTTTAGAGATGTAAAGTGTCACAAGAGGATTGACTAACAGTTGAGAGGTTAGAAAAAACAATGTAAAAATAAGTGCATGAAAGGTAATTATTCACTTGATGGATATAAAAAAGTCGAACAATAACGTAATAACCAGTATTCCAGGAAATTGTAAGTTACTATACAAGATTAGAAGTTTGAATGCTTAGCTAATTTCGTAAGATTTTTTGGTGGGTCAGTGTGACGAGAACTGACGAAAAGTCAATATTTATTAACTTATTCACCTTGACGTTTTCTTACGACACGCCTATATTCAGCTGGACAGATGAGTTAACCGAAGATTCTGAATTACCCCCTGTTGAAGAAAAGTTCGATTCAGAACGTAACATTAAAACTGTCGTACGATATTTCTTCAATGAAGACGGTGATTTGATCAAGGAAACTAAAGAATATCAAAGAGAAAAACGTGTTGTTGCTTCACGAGTAGCGGACAGAAAACAATGGAAAAAGTTTGGTGCTTCAAAATCTGATCCATCTGGTGGAAATTTAGCCAATACTTACCCAGCCGATATAGTTACCATGCAAATTGTTCAATCAAGACAGGCATGTGTATATTTTTGTTCATTTACCAGTTATTTATTGTTTAAAAACTTGCCACATACTACAGATGAGATGTCAATCATTTGACTGTCTGAAGTTAGTCATATGTGATGTAGAACCTAAGACATGAGTGTTGGATGTAGTTGTTATACCAAGTTAGCATATCGAGATGAACTATCAATGTAAATCCCACCGTAGTAGAATTAGCAACAGCACCAATAGTACCTGATACATTAACGTGATGATGGTGCTTGCCTATCCTGATAACCCAACCGAGCTTTTTTTAACTGTAACACGTTCCTTTAGGTCCTGTAATGCCATGCAAGCCGGCTGGAGACTAAAACCAGCAACTTAAGTTCCGAGGGCAAACTCGTATTGATGGTTACAGAGAGGTGTAATAGAGGTAAGGTGTTTCCCTTGGACAACTAGCATCTGCAGCGATGCTGTCTCCTCACAACGGAAAGAAAGACTTAGAAAGGTCGATCATAAAAATGTCACACCCCACCTTACCCCATGGATTTTCATCTTCGTCGATAAAGCGTTTTGAAGTGTGAAGCCAATACATTATAAACTTCCCATAAAAAGGTCGTGCGCGACCGGTCCCAAGCAGTTGTCCCTTGGGCATTGCGCTCACACTTCCAGGTCACTAAGACCTCCACCAATCCAGCTTCTTTATCAGATCCCTCAAGAAAAAGTATTCTTCGACGGTAGAAAAATTAACCACCGTCTTCATACCTCTAATAGCACTCGGAATTATCTTGTTGACGATTGAATCCTTACCTCACCTCATAATAATTCTTGCATCCCACGACTAATCGTCCTCGTATATCTTTATCATGACGTGCCACTAATGCTTTTAGTTCATGAAATGTTATTCTTGATCTTTTGAAACTACGCTCTAAACTACATGTTGGAGCTTTTGATGTTCAAACCTTGTGTCAGATGGGACAACAGGTTTCTTCAGCTGAACTCTAGAATCTCGCGCCTTAGATCTATGCTGCATCCCCGGGACGCACATACAGGATCCAAGTACAGTTATTAGTCTGACCTTACCTTATCAATCTAAAAAACCAGTACGTCAGTCAGTCAGTAACAACGTAGAACTTCGTGCGTACGTAAATCAGTTCGAGTTGCTATACCACATTAGCATAGAGATGCTGTGGTCGAGGTAATAAGAGTATAAGCAGTAATCGGAAAGATTAGGGTTTGGAGATGTTACTTAAAGAGTATAATACAGTGAAATAAATTTGAGAGGAGAAAAAAAAGACAAGGAGGAATAAAGAGATCAAAATTTGGGAGAACACAAAGAGTGTATGCACTTGCGCCATTGCAAACGATTTTGAGCCATGTCATTTATGGTCTCTAACCAACGGTTGCTATCATCTCGCGGTCCCCAACCAGGTAGTCTACACCTACCGACATGACTCAGTCCACTTGTCAGTGACTTCATGGACTTGTGTCATGTTTTGGTCTGGCCGCCTCTAGCTTTCTTCCAACCTACTCCTATACCACTGAACATAGCACGTCGAGGCAGTCGGTCGTTGGGCATACGTAACACGTGTCCCAGCCATCTCAACTGATGAAGTTTCACTACTTCATCAATTGATTCGCCATCCTTACCTAGTACCCGTTTCCTAACAACTGCATTACTTACTCGATGGTCCCATGATATACGAGCAATATTTCGAAGACACCTATGATCGAATACTGGTAACCGACGAATATCCTCTACTCTTACCGGCCATGATTCACTGCCATAAAGAAGGACGGAACGAACTGCTGCGCAGTAAACACGTCCTTTGGTTGATAGACGGATATCTCGCCTACGCCATAAATGACGCAAGTTGGTAAAAGCTAGTCGAGCCTTCTGTATCCGTGCTGAGATTTCGTCACACACCAGACCACAAGGGCTGATGAGACTTCCAAGATAAGTGAAGCGGTCGACACACTCAACTACTTCACTCCCTATCATTAGTTCGGGTGTCGATGCAACCCAATCCTGAAGCAACATTTTGCATTTCGAGGGGGAGAATCGCATCCCGAACATTCTTGCATTGTTTCTTAGAGTGGTCAGAAGACTGCATTTTGTCAGCGTCTTCACCAAATAAAACTATGTCATCAGCATATTCTAAGTCAACAAGTGAACCTCTCGGTAGAAGTTCAACCCCTGGAAATTTATATGAGGAGAGTGTTATCTCTAAAAGTACGTCAATGACAAAGTTGAACAAGAATGGGGAGAGTGGACAGCCCTGATGAACATCACTTGAGGTAAACAATTCTGATGACAGTTCGCCATAAGCTCTCACTCTACCAGTTGTGTTCGAGTAGGGAGTCTTTATAAGGTTAATGTACTTCTTTGGTACTCCTTTCAGTGACAAACACTGCCATAGAACCTTACGATCAACAGAGTCAAATTCCGCCTTAAGGTCTAGAAATACTACGATTGTGGGGCGTCTGAACGTGTGTCTGTGTTCTAGAACCTGACGTAGTGTGAATATCTGATCTATACAACCACGTAGATGGATCTTACTATGTCGCGACTCAACCAACAGATAATGACATCTGTCATCTGCAAATATGTTTACATAATCATCCATTTCTAGAAAGCACCAACTCCAAACACAAGTAAAAAACATCGTTTGGGATGGAGGCCCCCACAATCGACTTAACGATTAGCTCAGACAGATCATGTTGCCACTAGCCGTCGTTGAACGGCTCGATAGAAAACTATTACTCATTTTGGAGCACATTTTTAAACTCGGATTATGTTCTAGTTCGAGCACGTATTTTCCTGCAGTACAGCCACGGCAAAAAAGCCTTTATGGTTCGACGTAATGTTGAAAAAGCTTAGATGTGTTTCAGAAATAAATACAAAACAACTTAGTCAACCATGAAAGGGATATCCACCTCGAGGTAACTAGGCATGATATCCAAAAAGCTGTGAAGACAACAGTGATTTTTATTGATAACTTAAACCAAGACGTTAAGAGGAATCAGTGGATTTCAATGGCGTCTACTTAACTGATAGGTGCTAGGAAATTCATCCCGTTTGGCTCCGAACACGATGATGATCGGAGGCAACTTAAATGTAGGTTGATAAAAAGCCTACGTAATAATAATGTGTAGTGGTGGGTAGCGAAAGCAAAAGAGATGGAAAAGGCAGCTGAGATTAGTAACATTAGTCAACTGCTCAGACATATTAAGCAAACGGGTATTAAACTTACGGCTGTTAGTGAGACTATCTCAGTAAAAGATAAGACTATTATTCACTGAAATTCTGGAGATTTGACTGATAGGCAGAATACTTTAGGGAACAGTTCAACTGGTCTTCAGCCACACTTCAGTTACTCACTATCTCGAAGAGACCTGAATAGCAAATTGATGTAAGCTTTCCAACTCGATGGGTTGCAAATGCTATGGAAATCCAAGGTGGAGGAGGGTAGCAATTTGTAATAGATTGACTCCTGAGGATTTTAAGGACGGTAGTCCAGTTTTAGAAGCTAGACTGACTGAGATTTTAGCTGGAATCTGGGAAATGAACGTGATCCCATCTGCTTGGTGTCGATTGCTAATCGTTACAATCTACAAGAAGTAAAAAAATCTTCGTGTGACAACCACAAAGAAATCGGTTTAACTAATATGTGCAAAATATTTACCTATCCACGTACCTACTTAGCTTAATCCAACAGTTAGTGTCCTCGTGGGCTGATGTTACGCTCTAGTTTGACCGCTCCTATCTTACTTTCATTGTGCTCCTACGTCGGACATCACTTGTCGAGATAGAACTCTCTCGGTTGTCTCAAAATACATGAGTAATGATTTGAAGCACGTAGTACCCTATGAATATCCTCTATTCTTAATAGTCATGTTCCACACATAAACTAGAACGGAGCGGACTACTGCCTAATAAACTCATCTTTTGTTTGGCAGACGAATATCTCGCCTACACCACATGTGACGCAAGTTGGCTAAAGCCAACCGAGCTGTCTGAATCCGTGTCGAGTTTTCGTCAAACACCAGGTCACCAAGACTGATGAGAACCCTAAGATAAGTGAAGTAGTCAATATATTTGACATTTTCACTCCGCATCATGAGTTCAGGCGTTGATATAGACCCAGTCCTGAAGCAACATTTTGCATCTGGTAGGAGAGAATCCTATCCCAAACATTCTTGGATTGTTGCTTAAGGGAGTTAGAAGACTCATTTTGTCAGTGTCTTCACCAAAAAGGGCTGTGTCATCTAAGTATTTTAAGTTACCAAGTGAATCTCCAGGTATAAGATCAACCGTTGAAACCAGGCGATGGAAGTGTTATCTCTAAGAGCACGTCTATGTCAAAGTTATTTGAAGATGGGGAAATCGAACAACCTTGATGAACCGCACTTGAAGTAACCGATTCCGATGACAGTTTGCTATTAGCTCTAACTTGAGCAGTAGTACTTGGTTAAAGAACCTGTACAAGGTTAATGTACTTCTTTGATATGCCTTTTAATCATAGACTGATTCAGAACTTGTTGAACACCACCCTAAGGTCATGGAATACAATTATTGTTGAGCGCCGGAAAGTATGCCTTTGTTGTAAAACCTGACGAGTGAATAATTTGCTTTACACATCCACGTCTAGGTTTGAAACCAGCCTATTTTTCTCAAGTTTGCTCCTTACAAGCCCTAGTTAAGCGTTCAGTTTTCGTAGAGGCTAGTATTTTAGACATATTTTACTCAAACGAACTTAAATGTCCTACTAAAACTGAAATTTACAGACAAGTTCTTAAGACTGGAATGTGTGATACAGTCCATATAGCTTTCAGATTTCGCGTTACTTACTAGGATTTTTAATTACTTATTCCTCATAGTAGTCAACCTTATAAACAATTTTGATAAATTTCAACTCATCTGGCACACGTATCAGTTTCTACTTTGCGTAAGTTTGATCAATTCTTTGTATTTTGAGGTGATATTTATCCAGGTTGTACTATCCGAACACTACCCTGTAGACTTGATAAAGCAAATAAACACATCTTAAAAACGTATGTATTGCAATGCTTGTTGGTTCGAAGCAATTTAATAAATTCTACTCATGTATTCCTTAATCTCATTTTTTCGTACAGCCTGAACAAGAGCAAAAGAAACAGGAAGAGATGAATGTGAAAACAAGACTTGGAGAACCTGTGATTGTTTGTAATTATTGTAAAGGTGGACATTTCACTCGTACTTGCCCGTACAAAAGTGATATGGAAGCAATGCAGTTGTTACAAGAACAACTTCGTGCTAAAACGGAACCTACAGAAGAAACAGCTAAAGAATTAGTAAGTCGGAGTTGGTTTTTTTCTATCTCAGGTATGGAGAGCTGTATATATTTATGGTCTGTAATATTTATATTGCCGAAAAATGGCATTGTATAGATTGTTCAATTTAAAGACAGTTCGTGACGTTATGGATTGATTCAAATAATCTTCACAAACACCTCCCTGTCAAAAAATAATACTATACTCATCAGTGTAAATCTTCAATATTCAAGCTGGGAAAGAATCATCAAAGTCCTAGTGATAAAGCCGTGCATGGTGGGATACAACAATATCCGAAAGGAGTTGAGTATCATTGGTGGTCAATTATAGCTTGTATAATGGTATCGTGAGTTGATTAAGGTGTTCGAAATTTGGACTGTTGGACACTGCTTCGATGATATAACGATGTGACGTGTTCACTGTAAAGGTCCCGAGTACGGTTCCTAGCTTGGTCTTGAGTGTGAGCTACTAAAAAGTTTCACACCAAAAAGAAAAAACTATTCGGTGCTTTCGGGATTTAGTCGGTTGTCTAGTTAATTTTATCCAAACCTATCATGTAACTTAAAGGTTTCGTTCATGACGTGAGTAGAGAAAATATGCTGTTACACAGAAACCGTTATTGTTAGTACATAAGGAAGGTATTTTAAACTATAAACCTAACGTCACCGCATGATAATAATAATGTTCCGCATGACAAATAAAATTAACCCTAAATTCTACATCCAGTTGTAATCAGCACAGAGCCAAGAAAATGGTACGCCAGCTTAAGTTCCCATGCAGCATTAGCGCAAATCAATGAAATTAAGAATCAGAAGCCTATGGTTGACTGAATATTTTCTTCAGTAGAATACTGAAATATTATTAGTGACTACTGGCTTGATGAAATGCATTAAGATCGTCTTGACAAATCATAGTGTCCTAGGTTGATCGAAGACTTCGTGTTAGGCAAGGAAAAGCTTATTTTTTTCAGTGCAAGAATCTTCAGTTTGAAAATATCGATTAGGTGTTTAACATTGTCATGGTTTTTTATGACTTATAGACTAAATCTTTTATGAATTTTGTGTGTATGTGCATGTTTTTGTGAAGTGATTTGTGATATAACATTTACTGTCAATAGGAAATTGTACTGAAGAAACCGCTTTCGTTTTCTTACTGTTTGCCCCATAATATTTCTGATAAAGGTTCACTTTCATTTTGTAGCCAAACGATCGTTCTGGACGTTATATACCACCATCATTACGTGGTGATGCAGCCAATACTAGTGGGTCCAGTATGTCAACTGACAAACGTCCATTCGATGAAAACACTGTACGTGTTACTAATTTACCACCGGATACAACTGCGGAAGAATTGAAATCAGTGTTCAGTGCATTTGGTCACGTAGTGCGCATCTATCCAGCAAAAGATAAATTGACACAACAAAACAGGGTAAATTATTTCACTTTCTGTATGTATCCACTTTTATTATTTTTAAAAGGTTGTCCTAAACATTCTATAAGTATATATGAAAGTTTTCTTAAAATCAAAGTTTACTAAAACTACGCATATTTGAGTTTAACAACACTAATTACAATAATTGGGTCGTGATAGCATGCATCCAAACAATTATACATCTGTGCAAAATGGAAAGAATAACTGAATATGTGCATATCAGCAAGGTAACCGCTTTACGTTTCCTTTCTTATCACTAAACAATAGTGCACATTACGAAGAGTTAATGACACACCAGTTTAGCCATGTGGAAAAACATAAAAACCGCAAAAGCAATTATAATCATTTATTTGTCTCCAATTGTATAACCATTAATCTAATAATAATTATAATCTTTAATTGTCATCATGCATATGTTGTATTCTGAGGTAACAGTATTATTGAGTAAGAATTTCTATTATCTTGCCGTTGATATTCAAGATTGGAATTTTCTATTTTGTCTTTGTTGGCAAATGTGCTACCTAAGCGGATTGTCTTCATTTGTGTCGCCATTTGTGTCATAAGTACCAGTACTATTTACCTTATAAGTTTCGAATCTGTATGTCGACATCAACATTGAAATGCGTGTACATCTGACTAATCCCAAATATGACGAAACGCGCGTTCTGAATTCCAGTGTCAGACATAATTCAAATAGTGTAATAGATAAGAACGTAGAAAACAAATCTGACACTAATACTGGGCAAAAGACAAGTTGTTACCACGATATCGAGCTCACGGAAGATGGAAAAAAGAAACGACCCTTATGGCACATTTTTTACTAACTTGGATGCATACTTAAGGGATGGCTTTGAAATGAATTAAGACCGTCTATTCTAAGTAAAGGATATTAGGAAATAACGAATGATGAAACAGTCTAAAATAGATTTAAAGTGTGTTCCTCTATTACAAAAAAAACATGTAATTGTAGTTAAATTTAATTGCTTTGCTATCTATAAAATGTTCTAGTCATCTTTTTTTCATTTAATTTAATTCTATTTTTAGGGATTTGCCTTTATATCCTTCAGAACTGCGGAAGAGGCGAAAAGTGCAATTTATGGTGTCAATGGTCTTAGACATAACCATGTTGTTTTAAAAGTCGATTGGGCAAAGTAAGTTTAACATTGTATTTGTGCTGCAGTGCATGAAATCTATTTTAGTCTGGAAGTTAACAAGAAGTGGAATTTATTGCCTTTACGCATGCTCATTTATGTTATCCTTTTCATGCCAATATAATCAAATAATGATTGTATAGTGTATTAGCGAGTTTTAGTAATACCTGTCTTTACCAATTCATGAAACTTTATTATTTCAAAAATTAGTTCTCCTCAATACACTATATTGATTGACTACGATTTATGAACTACTCTTTACAAAATGTATGCATATAGACTTCAAGTTTAAATTTGCATCTACAGCTCTAGCATCGGCCTTATCGCAAGAATTGACACAAGTATGTATCGGTCCCATTTGCCACATTTCACATCAGAAATTAAAGAGAAAAAGAGCGATGTAACAAGACATGAAGCACCCGAGTAAAGTAGTATTTGCTCTATTGGTAAACTAATAGCAAGAAGAAGTTCAAAGAACAACTGAGATTTTGAAATAAAATTAACCACGATTGCACCACCATTACCACTGATTTCGAGCCGTGTCGTCTTATTCCTCTCCGTCCATCGATTATGGTTATTATTCCTTCTTCAACTAAAAGATCTGTGACTGTGGGGACGGTTCAGGTTAACAGTCGCTGACTTCATAGTAACTCTGTGTTTTGTTATTTGTGCCCCCTAAACTTTCAAATTTACTACTATTCCAGCCAACATGAAGGTTTTTTTTTAGGTATGCGTTTGAGATACTGTGTCCGTAAGTAATGTTGTCACGCTCCAATAGTGAGTAGTAAGATCTTCATTTCATACCTCGTATTTACTGCTTTTTCCTACCCCTATCCAGCCGATCTGCCCGAAACGTGTTCTAGACAATATTAGCTCTATTGAGTTGCTACCATATGGAAACCTTATCATCACATCAAGATACTAGCTACGGTCTAGCAAATGAATTCACTGAATGAATGATACCTCAAGTATACGTTTATATTGATTATCCATGTATCTATTCAAAGGACCAATACATTTATATAGTGATTAGATTGAACTCTTGATATCAACAACGGAATAATAAGAACCTATACAACATTTATTTAGAATGACCCCAATCTCAAAACCAAATTGGTATAGTACGATATGATGAAATATCTCTTTTGTACTTAAAATGTAACCCCTCTTTTTCATCTCAATAGTTCTATTTTGTTTATTCCATCTAATTATCATTTGTGACACCATTTCCATGATAGCAATCAAAGATGTTTACTTTCGTGAAAACCTCACCATATAGTAATAGTTCTTCTTATCACTTGAGACAAAATATTTATTTCGTTGTGTATGGTGTTTTTTTGTAATGGTGAAGATTTATAACTCAAGTGGATAATTTTATTCTCTGATCAAACCATCCAGCTCTGAGAATAAAACTCCACCTAAAAGATGTTTTTTTTTGCAATTATTTGGATATTTTCCATAACACTGGTACTATAAGTTAAGATATTTTGGTAGTATGAATCCTAAGCTAAATTGTTCTGTTCGTCAATGAAACTGTTATGATTTGGTTAGTTTATTCCTATAATTCATCTAATCATTACTTGATAATGAAAGTTCTCCAAAACAGACAATTCAACATTGTTTAGTCTAATCCCCATTACTATTTAACTATTATTATTCTTTATTTATTATTTCAGACCTTCAAATAATTAAAGCTTTCGAATAAGCATCGATATCTCACTCCTGTTTCACCTAAGTCAATTGTTAAGAAAAAAAATATATTTGCAGACCCAATTGATAATAAACGAGGTGCATTGAATGAATTCTTAATTTTCAATATTTTGTTCGTTTTGATCTATGAAAATTAATCAACCAAACATCTTATATATGTATCGATCAATCTATTCTGCATATTGTTGTTTGTAGTATCCCCTTTTGTACTTTTTATTCGATAGGGATTTCAATATTAGCTGCAATTTCAACGTTCGTTATAGTTGAATGATTATGATAGTTCACTCTTACAAATAAAAGATTTGATTTGTATCAGTCAATAACAACGTAGAACTTCGTACGTACGTACATCAGTTCGAGTTGTCACACCACATTAGCATAGAGATGCAGTGGTCGATCCAAATCCCGTAGTGGTAGAGGTAATAAGAGTATAAGCAGTAATCGGAAAGATTAGTGTTTGGAGATGTTACTTAAAGAGTATAATACAGTGAAATAAATTTTTTCTCTCAAATTTATCAACGAGCATATTTTTTCTTAGGGTTTAAAAATCGATCAATTTCTACTGAAAGAATACGTTTTGTGCCGTGTTACATAACCTAAATCAGTCAATGTCTGTGTTAAATATTATTTAACAACAATTCAAATCTTCACGGTTACGGAATAAACCGATATCAGCTTGTGAAATCGTGCACATAACGTTAACCTAGAAAGACACGACTGGTTCACCAATTGCTAGTTGTAGTTTGCATATTAGTATCAATATAAAACCATGATTGGAAAAATATCTAACACGACAATTTTTCAGGGTTAATGGGAATTAAGTCGTTGAACAAACGCCTTCGAAATAATAAGCTGGGTGTCCAGAACGGATCGCCATGGATTTGGCAGCTCGTAACAGTTATGCTGTTCATAGTTTACGGTCTTTCTCGAAGGACATTAAGTACAACACTAACTTTATTTACTGGATCTGCCGGGTGATTACGAGGTATCAAGTTTACCAGAATAGCGTTCATTATCCCTCGCAGTTACTCGAAATTTCTGTTCAAAAAGTGAATGCCAAGTACAAGATTAACCTTTAAACCTCAGAAGCGTCTGGAATATACAATGCATTGTTTAAAAATGACAAGATCTATCAATACTAGGTATAAATTTTGAGTTAGTGTAATGATGAGTAACAACTGTCAGCCAATTATCCAAGTCGAAATCTTTAATACGAATGTCAACTGTACAGAGTTAAAACTTGCAGAACTACCACAACCATCATCAAAAAGGTACTATTATTTATTATTATATTTTATTTGGACACATAAGTATTGGTACAATAGTGCGCCACACAAAACAATTAGAATTTAAGGAGAAGGAAAAAGGGTAAGGAGCGTAAAAAACGATAACGAAGAGAAATTGGTGTAAGGTAGTTTAGTAATAATAATGGAAAGGAACGGTACAATCAGAAGAAATCTTTCAGTTAAGGAACATACAACCACTTTTTACGAAGTAAAAGGTTACAGCAGGATCGCCACTGGCTTCTATTCTGAGCCATATCTGATAACGTCTATAGCCACTGTGTAGCACCATTTCTCGGACCCCAACCAGTGAGTCGTGAAGGACCAACACAAGCCAGTCCTTTGCAGCTTTCTTTCATGCCACGACACCATGTCATGCACTGACCACCTCTCCGCTTCTTCCAACCACTCCCAGAGTCGGCAAATAATGCACGACGTGGAATCCTCTGGGACGACATTCGGAGAACATGTCCAAGCCACCGAAGTCGGTGTTTCAAGATGGTGACACCAATTGAATTATCATCTCTGTGCCCGAACACACGATGCCGAACCTCTGCATTACTAACATGGTGTTGCCACTGAATGTCAGCAATCCTTCGGAGACAGCGATGATCGAACACAGAGAGTCGTCTAACGTCCTCAACTCGGAGAGTTCAGGTTTCACAAGCATAGAGCAAAACTGCTCTCACCGACGCGTTGTAGATCCGACCATTTACAGCCAGACTAACATCACGAAGGCGTCAAAGATGGCCCAGATTGGCGTAAGCCGCTCTGGCTTTCACTATTCGTGCATTGATCTTATCACTCACACCACCACCAGCACTTATGCAGCTACCCAGATACACCAACTTTTCGACCACTATCTGCTCACCATCCAGGGTGAGTACAGGATTAGAATCCTGACAGTCTTGTAGAGGTACTTTGCACTTAGAAGGTGCAAAGCACATACCATACTTACGGACTGATTGCCAACTGACTAGGCGACCTGCTTGAGCATCTGGGCTACCTGTCTGCTATCTAGATATCTCAACAAGTTATCTACTTTTGCTTGTTTTAATATATCATTATGTCTATTAATGGCACAACCTATCCTGGTGCATTTCTGAAAAGTGTACAACCTTTCGTTGTCAAAGTTACAAAAAGCCCAATAAGACATAATGTAGTTGCTGGCAATATGCAGAGGAAAGAATATACATTATTCAGATGTTCATTTACTGGACTGCTAACATCTAACTGGCGATCACTCAATATTTATCGTGTGGACCAATCAAGAAGTAAGAAACGGTAAATTGTTGAAATACTTTGTGCTGCGAATTCTATATTGTACCAAAAATATAATATTGGATAAAGCTTATAATAATAATTTAAAAACATAAAACAAGTGCGGATTGCGTGCCTTGGGCATTATCGCACAGTGAAGCAATATCATCCGCATACTCAAGGTCGATAAATCTTTCTCCAGGCAACAGATCCACACCGCCATTACTTACATCCATCAGAGCTGTTTCCAGAATGTCATCGATGGCAAAGTTGAAGAGGAATGGTGAGATTGGGCAACCCTGCCTAACCCCACTGCTCGAATGGAACAATGGAGAGAGGTGGTTGTATGCCCTCACTCTGCCTGAGGTGTTTGTATATAGGGCCTTTAGGATGTTAATAAACTTCTCAGGCACACCCTTCTTCAATAGACAATCCCAGAGAACAGTCCTCTCCAACGAATCGAAGGCAGCCCTGATGTCAAGAAACACTACGATTGTTGGCCTTTGAAAAGTATGGCGGTGTTCTAACATTTGGCGGAGGGTGAAGATATGATCAATACATCCTCGACCAGAACGAAACCCAGCCTGCTCCTCGCGAGTCAATCTTTCTCGGGTTTTGAACAACCTACGAAGAATGACGGAAGCCAATAGCTTGGACGCAATCGGAAGTAGACTTATCCCCCGATAGTTGTTACAGGAACGACGTGAACCCTTTTTAAAGATAGGGACAACTATCGACTCATTCCATGACGTTGGTACAATCTCTAGTTCCCAAACCTTTGTAAACAACGTCGTCAATTCCTTAGTCAAAAAGTCACCACCATCTTTAAAAAGAGCCGGAGGTAAGTCATCTGGGCCAGGTGATTTGTAACGCTTCAAGAGTTGGAGTTCCTTGCGGACTTCCTCCTCGTTTGGTGGATCAGTCGTCACCGGCCATGGAGGGCAGGACAGTCTGACCGATGTTGCCGGAGCAGCAGGCCAGTTGAACTGCCCTTCGAAAAATTCTGCCCATCGTCCAAGACGTCGATGGATGTTAGTGATTGGCATCCCATCATCCTCGCAGATTGTTTCACTCACACCAGACTTCTTGCTGCCAGTGGCTCGGATGAGTTGGAAGAGCTTCCGGTAGTTACCAGATGCAGCTGCTGCTTCCAGCTCATTAACACGCTCCGACCACTAGGCTTCTCGGTCCTTATGCAAGCTTTGCCCAATATCCTTACGTAACATCCTTCGTTTGTGCAACCAGCTTGCTAACATCAATGCGTTGGTGGTGGTCACTACGTTGACCACTGAAAAGTAAGGTAAGATTGGCGCAGACCAAGGCATGGTCAGAGACCAGATACGTACTCCAAAGAGAGCGACAATCTTGTACACAACCACGCCAGCTGTAGATGATCGCGATGTGATCAATCTGAGTCCAGGCTTGAGATGCAGAGGGAGGACGCCAGGTGGCACATCGGCGATGACTGTGCCACCTCAACGACCCTCTTCTGTGCCTAGACTCCCGACCTGAGCATTCAAGTCTCCGGCTAGTACTACATTATCTGTCGAACGCACTTTCTGGAGAACAGATAATTGATGGTAGAATTCATCGTTGATTGCATCCGAGCTGCAATCTGTCGAAGCATAGGCGGAGATAACGAAAACACATCGTTTCTCACGCCGATTTCTTCTCACTTTGATGGAACTCTCTAATCTAGCAGCACATAACCGACTGTTAATGGGGATCCAATCGATTAGTGCTGCCTCAGCTCTAGCGCTTAGTGCGACACCAACGCCAGCAACACCAGACGAAGATGCCACAGGGTTTCCGGATAAACGCACGCAAAACAAGCTTTTCGAAGCGACAGATGAAGAGCGAATTTGTAGTACTTCACCAGAGTCTTGAATACGGGTCTCAGATGGACAGCAAACATCAATATTAAGACTTTCCAAAGACATAGCCAGCCCTATGTGTTGTCCAACCTGCATAAATGTGCGAACGTTGAAGGCAGCCAGTTTGAATGGCGCACGTGGTTTCAGAAACACTGCTTCAGTACTCATATTTTGTGGTAACATACAATTTTCAACCGGATAGTGACTCGAGAACATTTAGAGAGTCGAATTTCCACCACAGACGAGCTGCTGTATAAGTCGAAAAAATAAGTATAAACAGGGTAGGAATAAAAGAGGGTGAATAATGACGTAGTAAATAATAATTGTTATTATTTGTATCATTTGATTGTTAGTCGAAACAAGAAAAGTAGTTTCCATAAATATGGACAGTTCATCATTTGTGTGTGGGCTGTGATACTGCCCGGGTACCCAGACCGAAGCAGGTGGTTATCTTAGGGGGCCACACCCCGAACCTTTGACCTAAAGGTCTAACCCACAAGGCAGTGGAGCATTATAAGGAGATGCAGTCCCAAGGTAACCGGTGACCGAAAATTGGTTCATACGCCATTTGTTCCCGCAGGATATTGGAGCCCATGTGCACCATTGCTTTGGTTTGGGATCCGGTTAAAGCGCCGAACATTCGTTTTTCAAGTATTTATAAACAATTATCTAAGCAAGTGTACTGTGGGAGGAAAAACTGCTTCCGACTGAAGAGGAAATTAGGAAAAGATGATGAAAGTGAATAGGATATACATTTTGGATATCACGAGGCACTAACTTGGAATCCTGAAGGGTAACAGAGAAGAAGAGTCAGACAGTAACAACGTAGAACTTCGTACGTACATCAGTTCGAGTTGCCATACCACATTAGCACAGAGAAGACCAAAGAACAGTCTGTGTCGAGAATCGGAAGCAGACATTAAAAGT